TCTCATTTGCTGTGCCTGTGTTGTGCAAAAGTAGAATGTAACATGGAGATTGTTTATCCAAAGTGATGGTGTTTTGTTTCCTAGACCTATCAGGGCCAAGTGTGTGTGTGAGTTGGGACTGTCAGCCGACAGTCACGGGATGAGTGCAGTTGTGTGCAGAGTGACTGCTTGGCAGATTCAGTTTAGATATAATGTATACTGTATAGAATAATATAGTATAATAAAGTAATTAATTAGCTTTCTGATATCCATGGAGTCAGATGAATCATTCCTCTCCTTTGTGGGGGCGCCTTTGATTCGATAAGTGGTGACCGCAGACGTGTTCTGTAGCCTGGACTGCAGAACCAAGGCCCTGAATTTGGGCGGATTTGGCGGCCAGACCGAGCACAGAAGAATCTGCCGAATCCTCCCAGAAGCGTGTCCGGATCCTTCGCGGGACAGACGGGAGAAGCCGCGGACAGTCTTTAGGACCCAGCGGACCCCAGCCGCTGAAACGGGACACTGCCGCCTGCTTTCCCCAGAGAGGTATTAACCCTTTCCTGCGTCTCCCTAGGTGGAGGCTCGGTCTTTTCCGGCCGAGTTTGGCCCCCTAGCCTTAAAGGCCAGGGGTGGGGAAGCCCTTCTGGCAGGCACTGCCCGATTGGAGGGACTTTGACTTTGGGAAGAAATGTCTGTAGACATCAGCACTCGATTTGCGGGGAGAGAGAGTCACTTTTAGGATATGGAGAACCTGGTTGTGACCACGGAGTGCTCGTGCCCTCAGAGAAACTTTACGAGTTTGGTCCCTCCTGTTGCCAAGACACTCGCAGCACGGTGGGGCCGGGTCGTGAGAACAAAGACCCACACCATGGGCCGGGTCTGGCCGCTTGGCCCGTCCCCCCACCTTTGACCCCCCCACCCTGGCCCGGGCCGCCAACCCATGGGACGGGTCTGGTTTCCTTGGCCCGCCCAACAAGGCGGGGCTCAGGGACATAGGAACAGAAATAGGAACAGGGGAAGGAGCCAGTGGGGTCTAACAGCTTTTTGAGTGAAGCTTCTTGTGTCTCCTAAAAACCAGGGAATGCTCCCCCAGGGTGTCCACAGCGGCAGGTGGATGTGACCCCACACCAGGGGAGGTTTCCAGCAGCACCAGGAGCTGGTGGGTCCAGTCACCATTGGAGACCACATTAGGGGTCAGCATGTGCCCCAAGAGCTCCTGCTGGCCCTGGAAACACCTCAGCTGCACCTGTGCAAGGTGCAAATCCATCACAGAGCAGAGTAGGTGGCTGGGGCTGGCCTGGGAGCTCCAGGGCACCAGTGAGGTTGACACGCTGGGGGGCACTGGAAGAGAGCAGGGAGACACGGGGGTGGAAGGGGAGAAAGAGGGTGCAGGGCTGTTGTGGCACTAAGAGGGACTGGGAATGGAATGGGGTGGCACTAAGAGTGAGTGGAGCAGGTTGGGGAGCACTGAGGGGGCAGGGGCAGATCTAAGTGAACTGAGAATGAACTGGAAATGGACTGGGAGGGATGGAGGGAATCCTAGGGACTGGGCTTGAACAGGAAGGGACGGGGACTGAACTAAGCAGAATAGATAGAGATTTGGATGACTTGGATGCGAACTGGAAGGCACTGGATGGGGGACAGATGGAGGGCACTGGGAGGGGCAGGGAATGAAGTGAGAAGCACTGGGAGTGTGAGGATCTCTGCATCCCCATGGATGTCTGTGGAGGGTCAAAAATGGGACATCACACCATGATCAATGTGATCAAGTGAAGCCGATTTATTGCTCAGATAAGTTACATTTATACCATGTTCTACTCTTCACGATCCATAAGCGAATACATGATTGGTTTAGTCTGTGCATGCGTCTCAAACTGTCAGCTAATTGTTTAGTTTTCTTTCTTCATGCGTTCTGCTGTGGCTTTTAGTTCTGTCTTCATACCCTGCCTTCCATCCTGGACTCGTTTACTCCTGAGTACGCTCTTCCTCTTTCGTGTCCTTAAGGCTGCTGTGACTTCCTGCTCAGTCTCGATGAAGGCTGGGTTGTGCACATGCCCACAGTTCTGCAAGAAACCCTCAACAGATGTCCAGGGGCTGTGGGGGGATCTCTGCATCCAGCACCTCCATCTCTGGTACCACCAGGGATTGGCTCTGCTGGACATGGAGGAAGCTTCCATAGCTTCTCTCAGAAACCACCCCTGGAGCACTCCCGCTACAAAAAACAGGCTGTGCAAACCCAAAACAGCTCTAAAAATGGGGCTCCAGATATTTAGGAACTCAGGTGAACTCCAAGATGGGTATTGAATTGTCCAGGGGCTCAGTTGTGCCCATAAATGAGGCCCCAGGTGAGGGCATTCTGTGCTTGGCTGAGCGCTGCCTGAGGGCTGGGGCTGCAGCAAGGGGGGACACCCTCCTCCAGCCAGGATGTCCCACAAACAGGGGAGCCCCACAAGCCCCTCAGAACCCTGGAGCTGGGCTGGTCCTGCCAGAATGTAGGGAGCCACCAAAACTGCTCTGTCCTTGCCCTCTGCAATGGCACAGGGAGAGGAAATACAAGGAAAGGGCCAGGAGTGCAGAGAAAGACCGGGAGACATCCCGTCATGAGACCAGCACAGGCAAAACAGATCCAGCCTGGGCACAGGGAGTGAATTTATTACCAAGCAAATCACAGCAGGACAAAGAGAAGGGAAAGAAATCTCTCCAATACCTTCCCCCCACAAAATGGAGATCATGCAGAACAGGGGGCACTAGAGCTCTTCCCAGTGGGGGTCACTGGGGACCATCCACTGCGGATCCTCCAACAGGAGCTGAAGCAGGGCGCTTCAACGAGTCCCAGAGAGCAACCTGCGCTTTCAAGGCCTGGAGCACGCTTGCTAAAGGAGCTGGCCAAAGGAGGGGAGGGACAGGTCTTTCTTTGGAGATCTGAAAGCCCTTTATTGCCAGGAAGAGGGCCTAGAGACAAAGACCCAGCAGGGTTGTGGACACAGGGTTAAATATGGAAAAAGGGGCGGACTTGAAGGCCAAGAACCAATGGAAACAGGGAAAAGTGGTGTAGAGGAAGGGCAGTAAACTAGGGGAACCAATGGGATAACAGCAATGGAACACTGCAGCAAACTGGGGCCAATGTGATCAGGTGAGGGAAGAACATTCTAGGGGGGTAAAAATGTAGTAAAAAGGAGTTGAACAGGGGTAATGTCAACTGGATAAACCAATGAAATTTAACACATTACATGTGTCTGCAGAGGCCTATGGGAGGGAGGCTCCTCTAACCCTAACCTCAGAGGAGTGTTTCTCCTTGCTTGTTTCTGCCCCTCCAGAACTGAGGTGTTACAGCCCCACTGGCAGGCCCCTGAGTCTTCACAGGGGATGGAGTTGAAGCAGTTCACGAAGCTCTTCCTGCACTTGGAACACTCGCAGGGCTTCCCTTACTGGTGTGTCCGTTGGTGTTGAGTCAAGCCAGAGCTGCTGGAGAAGCTCTTCCCACACTCCCCACACTCATAGGGCCTCTCCCCGGTGTGGATGCGCCGGTGCAGGGTGAGGTGGGAGTTGCGTTTGAAGCCCTTCCCGCAGTCGGGGCAGCGGAAGGGCCTCTCGTCTGTGTGAATGCGCTGATGCAGGAGGACATGGGACTTGCTCCGAAACCTCTTCCCACACTCGGAACACTCGTAGGGCCTCTCGCCAGTGTGGGTCCTCCGGTGCCGGATCAGGTCAGAGTGCCACCCAAAGCTCTTCCCACAGTCCAAGCACTCGTAGGGCTTTTCCCCAGTGTGGATCCTCCGGTGTTCCATCAGGCTGCAGCTCTGTCTGAAGCTCTTCTTACACAAATAACACTCATAGGGCCGTTCCCCAGTGTGGATCCTCAGGTGCCGGATCAGGTTGGAGCTGTCTCTGAAGGTTTTCTCACATTCCCCACACTTGTAGGGTTGTTCCACCTGTTCTCCAGTGTGGATCATCTGGTGCCGGAGCAGGTGGGAGTTGCGGCTGAAGCCCTTCCCACATTCCAAGCATTTGTGGGGCTTCTCCACCAGCTCTGAGCTCTGGCTGGACCTCACACCACCTTTCTGGCACACAGGGGGTCTTTCCTTCTTGCAGCTCCCTGGGCTGGGTTTGCAGCCCCTCCTCATGCTGCATCTCTGGGGCTCTTCCTTCTCCTCCATTGGCCCAAGGCTTGGGAAGGACAAATCTTGGTCTGGGGGGAGGAAGAATAGGTGAACACCTTAGGCTGGGGTTCCTCCTACCCAAGTTCCTCTCAGAAAGTGACCAGATATTATGTGTCCATAAAAATCTCCAAAACACAAAGGCTCAGCCCCCAAAAAAATCCTCACAGGAGATTCACCTCTCTTGTTTCTCCACTCTGGGTTTTGGGGTTTCCCTTCCCCTGGCTGATGGGGTTCCTGTGGCTCCTCTATTCTGGGGTCTTGCTTACAGATGACCCAGGGTATTTGAGGGTCCCAGTGATCCCTTCTCCCCTGACTCCCTATTAGAGGGTTCCATGGATGTTGGGATCTCTAGCTGGTCAGAGTGACCCCGAGAAAAGTTCGAAAGTCTTTTTTCCCAGCCCGGTGCTTGAAGAAGGAGTCAGGGCTCTTCATTTCTCAATCTCAAGGTTGCTTATTTTATCTATAAAAAATTTTCTCCTGGCCTGCCGAGGTTAGCTCAGCAGGACAGTTCCAGGCACTCTGCCTGCCCACAGAGCGGCGTTATGTCTTTATACTATTATGTCTTTATTATGTCTTTATGCTATTATGTCTTTATTATGTCTTTATACTAAAAACTACGTATACAATGTTTACAATAACTTTGCAATACCTATCACCTATGTTAGACAGCGAGCTTTTACTCTAAACCAATCTAAAAGTGCCAACATCACAGCAGAAGATGGAGGCCAAGAAGAAGAAGGAGAAAGGCTGCCCACACCCACACTTGCCTCCTGAACCCCCCATACCAAAAACCCCAAAATCAACTTTTCCACCCTGTGATAACTTCACTACATTCTACTTAAACTGTTGTGGCCTGCTGATCTTCATACAAGGTTGGTAACTTGCTCCATGGGTCATAATCAAAACCACAAGGGCATCTTGGGCTCTGTGCCAGGGTCTCTGAGACCCCTGGCAGGGGTCTTGGCTCCTCAGGACAGCCAGAGGGATGTCCTGGGTTCTGACACATGGATCCCAGGAGTCCCCCAACTCCAGAATCTTCTCCTCCACCCTTCAGGATGCTGTGGGTCCTACAGCTATGGGATTGCCCCTCTCCACTCTCACCACTCCTGCAGTTCCCCTCCACCACTCTCCTGGGGGGCCCCAAGACTGATGTGCTCCTTCCGCCAGTACCTGGTGATCATCTTGTGGATCACCAAATATCCCCCCAAAGTGGAATCTGTGATTCAGCTTTCAGGTCCTGCAAGACTCAAACTTTCCCTCCCTCAGAGAACCACAATGCCTCCCAGGGACCTCTGGAATCTGCCAACTCCAAACACTTTCCCCAGAA